GGGGAAAAATTAAGAAATACCCAAGAGGTCACAAGGGGGACAAAAGCCACTAAAGACAGATTAATAAAAAAGACTGTGGACACTTCTTCTCCCCTATCTCTAGTGTAGAAAGAGTGTGATAATTACAAGCGATAGAGTGACATTGCCAGGAGACCTCAGTTGAGCTTAAAGAAAACAGCAAAAAACAAGGATCTATAGGAATTTGAAGCCTCTAGGTACCAGCAGTGCAGCAACAATATTAAGCAGAAATTAACTCCAGACAGATTCAATTGAAATTTTACACTAGAATCAACATTGACCTAGCTTCCTATTTTTCTATACATCGTCTGGTATTCAACAACAATAAGAACTATAAGACATGTTAAATAGTGGGGCAAAAACATGTGTGAAAGGCAAACCAAGCATCAGAGTCAGATAGGATACAAGTTCTAAATGTATCAGACATGAAATTTGTAGTAACTATGATTAATAGACAATGACGCTAGTGGGAAAGCAGACAACATGCAATAGCAGACAGATTTTTAAAAAGTAGGCAAAATGAAATGCTAAAACCTGTTTTATTATTTTTAAAAGAAAATCATAGGGCTAAGGAGCTAGTTCAAAAGTTGGAACAGGTACTTGCTGGAGACCTTGATTTCATCCCTGGTACTGCATGATCCTCTGAGCACTGCTGGAAGTTGACCCAAAAGCACCAAGTCAGTATATTAGTCCCTGAGTACTGTAGGGTATGGTTCCAAAGCAAAATAAAAGATTGCAATGGAAAACAAAGATTGCCTTTGGTGGGCTCATCAGCAGATGTGGCATACCAAGGGGGAAAGTCTTAGTGAGCCTGAAGATCGGTGAGTAAAAACTTCCCAAATTGAAATGCAAAAAACAAACAAACAAACAACAACAAAAAACATTAACAGAGGGCTTCTAGAATCCACCCAGCTTTGTCTTCATGAAGCAGTTCTATTAATCAGAAAGTAATACAGGTTGGGCCCCTGACTGCTTTTGAGTGACAGCTAATCTTGCAGAAGTTTGGGACATAGATCCAGCATAGCAATCCACCTGGATATACACACGCCTTCTTACTTCCACAGTCCAGACAGTCATTTTCCCTGATGTTTCTGCCTGATCTATGCCTCAATTAATAACAGAGCCTAGGCAGCATTTAGGGAAGGCGCAGGCAGCATTGCCAGGACTGTGAAGGTCTTGGGAAAGGTTGTTTGGTAACATGCTGTGTTCCATTGACAGAGCCCAGCTGAGAGCTTATGTTAGGATGGACAGACCTCAATCCTGAAAACTAATAATTTCTTATTAATTAAAAGATTATTATATACACTGACATGGTTACATGTTTATTAACAAGAAAGTTAATATTTTTTCAATAAAAGTAAATGTGTATATTCAACCAAAAAAGATTTCAGTGAAAAAAATAATTATTCTATCTATTCATCTGACAATGATATATATTAATAGAAAATATATGTTTTGTTCAAGTTTGTGGCTTTCATTAATCCTTTCAATAATAAGTTTGTCAAAGCAGGGACCACACACACTTGAGCACAAGGTGGAGATATAATCTCAGAAATACAGGATGATGTGAGTTGTCAGAAGTGGGACACAAGAATGGGTATGACAAGCAATAGCGGGGACTTTCCTCCCATTGTGCCTTAGAAGCCTTCTTCCTGCCTGACCTAAGACCTGGCTAGGGCCCAAAGATCAGGCTGAATCTGAGCCCTTGGATGGACTCAAATCCTACTGGCTATGAAGGAAAGATTAGGAAGCCAGCAAAGCTTGCATCCAACTCATACCTTTTGTGACTGAGCCCCAGAATTAATTCACCTGTCCCAGTGGTGACTTACTTTCTTGCTCCATGTGAAGTCTTACTCAAATCAATGGATACAACAGAACTTTCATGCTTGATCACTGTTTTTTTTTAATCTATCATATTCTCCTTGTTCCATCCCATCTGTCGTGTGACTTTTAGCTTCCATGGAGACTTTAGGGTTACTTGGTTAAGTTTTGGTGCCCAGTCATTTGGTCAAATAGTAGTCCAGATTGGTATTGTAACACAGTTGTTAGATTTAACAAATCTGTCTCATCTCAGACTTTCAATAAAGGGGATTGCCTTCCACAGTAAGAGTCTGCCTCATCCAATCAGTTGAAGGCCTGAGAAGTAAAGACAAGCTTGTAGAAGCAGAAGCAATTCTGCCTTTACTAAAACATAGAAATCCTGCCTGAGTTTTACTACTGCCAGCCAGCCTGACATATTTCAGACTTGCCAACCCCCACAATTGTCACTTTCTTAAAATCCCTCTGTGTCTCACACATACATATATATTCACATAGATTTATGTGTGAATATATATGTAGTATCTATTTCTGTATCTATAGCTGTCATCTCTCTGTCTCTGCACATATACATACATATTTTCTTGGTTCTGTCTCTCTGAAGAACTCTGACATGGCTACATATTTATTAACAAAAAAAGTTAATAATTTTTCGGGGCTGGAGCAATAGCACAGCGGGTAGGGCATTTGCCTTCCATGCAGCTGACCCGGGTTCGATTCCCAGCATCCCATATGGTCCCCTGAGCATTTCCAGGGGTAATTCCTGAGTGCAGAGCCAGGAGTAACCCCTGTGCATCGCCGGGTGTGACCCAAAAAGCAAAAAAAAAAGTTAATAATTTTTCAATAAAAGCAAACGTGAATCGACCAAAAAAGATTTTAGTGAAAAAATAATTATTCTATCTATTCATCTGACAGTGATATTAACAGAAAATATATGTTTTGTTCAAGTTTCCTGCTTTCATTAATCCTCAGCTTCTCAGAGTTGCCATAGAACACCACTTTCTGACATGCTGACATTACAATTAATGCTTACTTTTAAAGAAGTCATTATAACCCTAGCTAACCATTTCCAAAAGCAGCCATCTGAGGTTTCAACTGCAACCATTTTCAGCTGCAGCTCCTATATTTGCAGTGGCTTGTTGTGGTACCTCTAGGAACAATCAATTACCTGTGAAAGCCATTCTGCCAGGATGATCAACCACCACAATTAAACTTGCTCATCAGCTTCTGGAGTCAAAATGATAAAGCTAAAAGCCCCTGCTTTTACTTTTGTTTTGATTCTTGAAAAGAAAGATACAGGATTCGACCATCTGAAAACCTTAGAATGCTCCAAGAGCCTTCACTCTTTAAGAATCTCTCATAGGGGGTGAAGATGGGAAATTGTCCCCACTCCATGACTTCAAATATTTACTCCAAACAATGTTAACTGAAGTTGGCTATCGGATAGTTTTTGCAAGGCAGCATGAAAAAGTAATTGACTTTATTATAATTTTCTTCTTTAAAAAAAGAGAGTGCAATTCATTTGTGGAATATAAAGTAACAGAATGAAAGACTAACACCTAAGAACAGTAGAGATAAGTACCAGGAGGAATTCTCCACGGCTTAGAAGCCAGCCTCAAATGCTGGAGGAAAAGGTAGCTCAAATAGAGAAGGGACCACCAAATAAAGGGTGCTAGGAGGGTCCGCTTGGGATGGGAGATGCGGGCTGAAAGTAGACTATTAGACCAAATATGATGGCCACTTAATACCTCTACTGCAAACCACAACATCCAAAAGGAGAGAGAGAGAGAGAGAGAGAGAGAGAGAGAGAGAGAGAGAGAGAGAGAGAGAAAGAGTGCAAAAGGGAATGCCCTGCCACAGAGGTGGGATGGGGTGCAGGGGCCAGGGGGCGGGGGAGGGGTGGTGGGAGGGATGCTGGTACCATTGGTGGTAGAAAATGGGCACTGATGGAGGGATGGGTACTCGACCATTGTATGACTGAAATGCAAGCACGAAAGTTTTTAAGTCTGTAACTGTGATTCACTAATAAAAAAAAATTTTTTTAAAGAGTGCATTTTGTTGTGGTAGGCGAGTGCATTTTGTTATTGTCATTGTTTGGATCTAAACTGCTAATTTAGGATGTCACTGATGAGTGGAACTTACCAGATAGTAGACACGAGTTGTAGAAGGCATCCATGACCTAACAGCAACAATAGAACATGAATGTGGCTGCAAAAAAAACTTCTAACAATGTATGTTTTAGCATATAGACTCATACTTTATTTTGACAAATTTAAGATAGAAAAATATCATAATGTGAATATAGCAGTCAGTTGCTCTTTTTGTAACATGGATGTGCAAGAAGACTTGGAAGAGATTGCTTAAACAGGATGATCTCACTTCTGTCTGGTCTTCAGTTCCCCATGAATGAGAGTTCCACTACTGCATTTGCTTGAAAGAATATCAGATACAGGCAAACTGATATTCAATAGGGTTGTGCCATTCCATAATAAATAACATGAAGCAAAACAACTCTTAAAATATTTTATAACTACCAAAGCCAACCTTCAACTTCATGATTAAAACTAACAACTTTCCAAAGAGCTTTAAGATTTTTCTACTAGTATATGTAATAGAATAATGTAGTACTTATTTAAAAAAGAAATAAAAAAGAGTAAACATAGTATTTCAAATACCTATAAACAGTAAACATAAATTAAAAGTCTATAGATGTCATGTCAATAAATAATCTTTGACCAGATGGCCACAAAGATTGTAATTTTGATTACCATCAAAATATGCCCTGTGTGTAACCTTTGAGCTGTGGATGGATTCTGTACTCCATTTTTGAATGAGGACTGGTTGAGGGACTTTGATACATGCAAGTACTTGGTTTTAGCTATAATGACAAAAATATCCAATGTGCCAGGAGTCTGCAGCTTAAACTTCCACCTCATTCTTTTGTCTCTGTGATGCCTCAGGGAAACTCAGGATAAATAATTCAAACAGGTGCTAATTTGCTGCACCTTTGTCCCTCTGAATTTCTTTCTTAGCTTCCCTTCCCTACTCCCTACAGAAGTAAATAGGATGGGGCCCTCATCGAAATACGTTGTCTGTAACATATAAAATAAGTGTATGTGTATGTATGTATATATATGATATATATATATATATACACATACATACATACACACGTTTCCTTTTTAAGGGCTGGGTAACTCCTCATTTTCTATCAAATAATCCTTCTTCATGTACTTGGTTCCCCTAACTAACCTCCACACGTTGAGATACGTATCCTTCAATGACCTCTTGCTCATTTCATCGGACATCTGAGCGCTCCTAACCACCAGTGGGGCTCCGCTGGGGCTGCCCGGTGCCCCTTGCCTACCCTGCGGATCCGAACCACCTGCTGCCTTTCCACCTTCTGACCCGTCATTGCCACCCTCTGCTGGCAGCTCCTCCATGACGAATGGCAGCTGGTCTCCACTCCGCTGAGCCTCCTCTCCCGGGGGTTGCATTGTCTCCAGGTTCTCGTAGTTGCTTTGCTTCCTGGTCTCCAAGAATTTGGCCACACAGTAAATGATGGAGCCCAGGGTGTTCACCACCACACCAGCAATGAACAGAGAGGTGGGCTCCACGTCGCTGAAGGCCACCATGCCCACCGTGATGGTGGCGATGCTCTTCACCACCCCCACGAAGCTAGTGGTCACCGCTGAGTTGATGTAGGTGCAATGGAGCGTGGTGAAGTTCATGGCACAGCCGATCAGGATACAGGCCACAAAGATGCAGACCATCGCTGGGTCCTTCCACCCCGGGAACGTCCAGGCATGGATCGAGTCGGTGCTGGCGAAGGAGAAGACCACCAGCAGCGGGGTGGCCGATACGGCGATCACGTACTGCGCAGTGAGCGGCCCGTGCTCGGTGTCGGCGCTCGCCTTCTGGATGAGCACCAGGTAGGCTGCGTGCACCAGCACCGCCAGCACGCCCGTCACGTACCCGATGGGGTCGCCTGTCAGGTCGCCGGCTCCTGCAGCACCCGAGGAGGACGGCGGAGACAGGGCAGGGAGGAAACAGAGAAGACACGGGGTTGACCGAGGGCGTTCACTCCTGGCTACGCGTCGGAGTGAGAAGCAGCCGAGGTTCGCGCCCTGGCTCTGCGCGGCGGTGCGTACGGCCCGAGAGCCGCGCTCAGACAGTTTCCCTGGGCGGGTGCGCACCAGATGCATCTCCCCTGCACGCCCTCCTCCCCGATGCCCGCCCGGGATTGCCCAGTGGCAGGAGGTCAGGCAGGCACGCGACACTCCTGTAGGGTCTGCGGAGCGCCAGAAATGACAAGGTGCCCCAGCTAAGTGGTTGCTAACTCCGGGAGGGCCGAGCGCTCTCCCCTCTCCGGGCCCCAGTTAGTCTCCAGCGCCCCGCCTCTCCCCCTCAAAAGAAGCCCGTCTCCGTCCAGCTGCCGAACCGCACCCGACCCGGTTCGCTCTGCCTCCCGTCCGCGGCACGCCCCCGCGCACGGCTGGAGACCCCAGATGAGCTTCGCTCCTAGCGTTTCCCACCCACTGCAGCCCCGCGTGACCCCAGGAAGTTCACGGCCCCCCTCCTTCCGGCTCGGGCTGGAGGACTCCAGCTCCGGGGCTCAGGAGACTCTCCCACGGGTCCGGGTGAAAGGAAGGAGTGAAGGGAGCAGAGGGCTGGCCGGGAGGCAGGAAGGGCGACCCCCGGGAGCCGGGGCGGGGGTCTGAAGCCCGGACAAAGGGCAGGGGGTGGGGGAGCCCAGAGCGCCTCCCGGGAAGGCTCCGCTGGGTCTCAGCAGTAGCCGCGGGCCGGTCGAGTGACCACATTTCAACTGCCCGGCTTCTCTCGGTCTCAGTTTCCCCACTCTGGGCCGAGAGCCGTGGCACTCAGGGAACCCCGGGGTCTCGGCCGGGCGGGCTGGGGTGGGCTGGGGGGTCCGCGCCGGTCCTGCTCACCTGCCAGGGCGGCGCCGCAGGTGGTGATGAGCACGGCCGCCAGCACCCCTGGAGAAGGCGCGCCGTTCTTGAGCACCAGGACGCCGATGAGCATAGTGACGAGGGGCAGGCAGCGCTTGAAGACCACGTACATGGGCAGGCTGAGGCCGCGCAGGGACCAGAGCGTGAGGCTGGACTGCAGCGTGGAGAGCACGGCCACCCCGGCGAAAGAGCGCGCTAGACTCAGGCCGAAGGGGGGCACGGCGATGAGCCCGAGGCGCCGCAGCAGCTCCAGGCTCAGCGCCGCCGTGGAGCTGGTCAGGCACTGCACCAGGGTCAGGAAGGTGAACTGGTAGCGGCTGATGAGGAACTTGAGCAGGATGTTGAGGGAGCCCGAGAAGACCCCGTGCGCGATGGCCACCGAGATGCCCAGGACGCGGCCCCGGCACAGCCGCCGCATCGTGGCGGCCCCGCCGCACCCGGCGGTGGAGGAGGCGGTGGGACCTGCCGGGAGGAGGGCGCAGAGCAGGGCCGGGAAGACGCGGCGGGAGGGCAGCGGGGATGCCTGCCCAGCGCCCAGCGGCGCGGGGCCAGGAGGGGGACTCCGGCTCGGCTGCCGACGGGCGGCTTCAAACCAGGCGTCCTTGCAGCTTGGCGGCTCCGCGTCCGACTGCCCCGCAGCTCCGGGGAGGCAGCGACGGGGGCGGGGGACTCCGAAAAGTGGCAGGGGTGGGGGGCTGGTCTGAGAGGAGTGGCGGGAATCCTAGCGACAGCGATTTGTAAGTAGGTGACGAGCCGCGATGGGTTGTGTCCCGCGCGGTTTCAGCGTCAGGGAGGACGCTCCGCCGCGGGCAAGTCCCGGCAGCTGCCGCCAGCGGGACGGGCCCGGCCGCCGCACGCTCATGGGCCCCGGGGCCCCCTTCTGTCCCCGCAAGTGCGCGCAGCAGCCCGCTCGTGCCTTCCGGTGTGCTTCCTCCAGCCGAGCGGAGGGCGTTGAGGGGTCCCGGACACCGTTACCGATTTTTGAACCGACAGCGCTCCCGCTTCCAGGAATGTTCATTAGCTGCAACAAGTGACAGCGCCCCCAGCCCCTTCCCCCCAGATGCAAAAGCATTTTCCCACCCACGATTCCTCCCGCGGGGCCGGTTGTGCGTCAGGGAAAAGGGAAACGTCGGTGCCAGAGAACGGTGAGCGGTGAGGGGCGCCCCGATGTTCTAGATTCGGGCACAGGCACCTGGACATTGAAGGAAGTAGCCACGACCCCCAGGTCACGGTCCAGAAATGTTTTGGGGCGCGAAGATTAGCCTCTGGGGCGTTCCTGGCACCACGCGCGGCCGCCCTCGCGCCTTTCAGACTGAGCCCTGGAAATTAACGCGCACCGCTAGGGCCCGGGTGTAGACGGGGCGCAGCAGGCTGAGGCTGGAGCAGGGGACGGTGTTTAGACAGAGACAGAGAGGTGAAGAAGGAAAAAAAAAAAGAGCAGAAACCCTCAGAGCGGGTAGTCAGAGCAAAGGCGTGGGAAGGCTGGGCAGGGGACGAGCAGGGACCGGCTGTGCTAGAGGCTGCGGGCGGGGGGAGAGAGGACGTAGCGGGGCAAGGAAACCCCAGACCGAGATCTCCTCTTGATTCCGGGAGCCTGCCCGGTGGCGAGCAGAGAACCCCTTTCCCCTACCTCTCCTGGCCAGGACCTGTGTGCGTCCAGGTCTCCGAATCTTACTTACTTTCCTCTTGGTTAAGAGAAAAGAGAATTTCTTATTTTCGGCGGGCACACGACTTTTGTGGCTCTTCGTCTTGATGATCAGCCCCTGGAAAGTACCGCCCGGCTAAGAGTAAACTCGAGCACCCCCAAAGGGGATCGGTTTAGCCTGGGTGGCCCGCAGAAAGCCGACCCAGAAGAGTTTCCAGGCTGCTTTAAGCCTTGGCGACTTGGCAAGGGTTTGGTGGAGAGGGAGCACTCCAGAGCGCGGCGCTTCACCCCTCCTTTCGTTCACTTCTCATATCCACCCACCACACGCGGATTTCCACCTCCTGTTCACTCTGTCCTAATACTCGAGCCATTTTCCTAGCGATTCTTTTGTTTTCTCCTCCATATTCCCACCTCTGCGCTAAACCCAACAGTTGATAGGCCACAATTATTACAGCAGCAGGAAAAGAAATTTATTTTCCATCAAGGACCTACAGCACCATTCTTCACCCTGACCAGTTTAGTACTGCCGGATACTCTTTGGTGAGAAAGCTTGAGTTTAACTCATCACCAACAGAGTGCCGCGCGCCGGGGAGAGTCAGCTCCCTGTGCCTAATAGGTAGGCATGAAAAAGTATTTGCGACTGACCCACTGTGCCAACTTTCCAGGGACAGCACTGAAAGATTGGAAAGCTTTCTACTGAAACCCCCGGCTTCCGGTTCCCTGGGGGAACTCTTGGAGTTTTGTTGCTAATAGCTATAGTTACACACCATTGACTATTCTGGGGACTCTTGTTTGTCAAGCGCTGATGTTCTTTCTTTAGAAAATAATGACTGAAGCAACAATTCTAATTATGTGAAATGTGTGGTATAAGCATATTCAAAGTATACTCAAAAAGTTTGAAGATGTACTTTTTAAAGGCTTCAACAAATAACAGATTTCTGCTTCTGGGGACCATTACAATTAAAGGAGGGTTGCTTTAGGCCACCTAAAGTAATAGCACTGTAGCACTGTCGTCCCCTTGTTCATTGATTTGCTAGAGTGGGCACCAGTAACGACTCCATTGTGAGACTTGTTACTATGTTTGGCATATCGAATATGCCATGGGGAGCTTGCCAGGCTCTGCTATGTGGGCAGGATACTTTTGGTAGCTTGCCGAGCTCTCCAAGAGGGATGGAGGAATCAAATCCGGGTTGGCTGCCTGCAAGGCAAACGCCCTACCTGCTGTGCTATCGCTCCAGCCCTAAAGTAATATAATGAAATTTTTTTCTGCACAGACCCAGTTTTAGGATGATTCATTTCTTCCAGTAATAATAATTGCTTCCATTTGTGATACTAACTTTAGGTAAAAAGTTTAGGGCTGATTCAGCTCTCATACCCTTCTCATTTAGGCAAGAATATTAAACTTAATACGTGAAACCTACAGCAGCATGAAACACTACATTTCCCCCACTTTAGTGTATGTAATCTTTTCCATTAGGGCTTTCATTACAGCAAATTAATACCACATCCCAATAAAAGTCTCTATGGTTAGTAGAAAAACTAACTAAAGAAGACAAATCTGAATGTCAAAAACCTCTCTGACCTATTGGGGGGTCATTATTTTGGAACTCCTCAATAACTATTGACAGTATGACATAAATTCATTCAACAAACAGATACAAGTATGTTAGCCACAGATGAGTCAAAAAAGAGCACTTAGCTCAGTTCCTCCACACTCACGTGGGCATGAGATAACTCAGTGATGCTCATGTTATAGTGGGGTCCTGTGGCAGGATCATCAAGGAGGACAATAAGACCTCCCCGACAGGCATATTGGAGAAGGCTTCCTGGACAAGGAAATACAGTCGTTTTGAACATTTTATGTATTTTATTATTTTTAATCATGTAAGCAACAATGGTATGTGAAAGGAAAACTTTATAATTAAGTGACTGAGACTGCCTGCCTGCCATCCAACAACACAGCACACCACTCTTAACAGTTTGGTATGAACTTTTCAGTTTTTCTTCATGTATGTGAATGTGTAAGTACGTTTAAAACAAATAATAAAATTAGTCTCCACATTTAGCTAATTTAAATACACAACTTGCACATTAAAAAGGCACACTGTGGTGATCAGCCTTTAATCTCCCACTTCAGTATCTCCCACTTCATGTTCACCCCGTTGGTTAATCCCTCCCCACTGCATCACGGTTGATCTGTATGACCAATAGAATGGCAGAACCACCATTCAATGACCATTCAATGAACCATGAAAGTGATGGAGTTCCTCCTAAGTTAAGGTTATGAAAGACCAATGCTTCCATCATGATTTTCCACTTCTCTTGACCTTATGTACTTCTGTCCATATTTTAGGGTTGGGATGGAGACATAAGTCCTATCCTCCGAGATCTGCTATCATCTATGTGGATGACTTTGGAAGCAGATCTTTCATTCCCCAGTTGGGCCTCTAGTACCGGCAAGCCTAGATGGCAGCTGAACAATAGTGTCAGGACAGAGTCTGAGCCAGAACAACACAGTGAGCCACTCTGGATTTCCATTATATAAAAATAGAAATCTAAGTTTTGGAATGATTTGTTATATAGAATAGATAATTTATTGCTAATTATAATTATTAACAATTATTAATATAGTAGCAATGTTAGCAATGTAGGACCATGTTAGGGCCTTATTATTTTAAATGACTGCTCTGTAGTTGTACCATACATAGTCATCTAGGATTTCTAGAAAATAGCATCCTTGGACATTGTCCTTATATACTTCTCTATATATTTGGGGGGTGGGATGGAGACATGGATAGTGAATCCTTCAATTAGAACTATTGGGTCAAATATTATTAGTTTTCTAGAAAGGTAATAGTGATATTTAATCAAATGGGAAATTATCGATATTTTTAATGTTTGCCCGCCAAATTGGGTATCACTTTACTTTGCACTTCTTTATTATCATTTAGACAAAGTCCTTTTTTATAGGTATAGTAACAATTTGTTTTTCTACTGTGAATTGATAGTGATTGTTCACTTTTGTATTTTGTTTTCTTGTGATTTTTATAAAGGCCTTTTATAAATTCTTGCCATTAAACAATTTACTACATGTTAACAAATAATTGCATTCTAATATGTCTGTCTTTTCATTTTCCTAATGGCATATTTTGCTGCTTTATCTTTTTATTCATTTCTAAAGACTTTTAAATGATGAGCAAGAATTTGCCAAGTCAAAAGTAAGGCAACCTGGGGCTAGAGAAATAGTACACAGGTAGGGCACTTGCCTTTCATGTAGCTGACCAGGATTTGATCCTCAGCATACCATACCATACTGAGTGCAGAGCCAGGAGTAATCCCTTGCATTGCTGAGTGTGGTCCAAAACAAACTAAAACAAGTAAAGTAACCTAGGTACATGTACTAGCTAAAACAGATTAAAGCCTTCATTATTTACATGAGGAGGTTATGAGTGAGCACACTGGTATTGCTGGAGTATGATGTGTGAGACACTGGAGAAAAGCAATGCTGCAGAGAGTGGCAGAGAGTAGCCTGGATTTGCCAAGCTGGATCTTATTCAACACAATCCTATAAATAGAGGAAGGCTTTACAACAAACTTTATTCATATTGCATTTCAGGTCAGTCTCCAAGAGCTGTATTAAGGAGATCTGCAGACACAGAAGTAAAAACAGAAACACCATTTAGGAAGCTTCTACGATTATTCAAAGAAAAGTTAATAGATAGCTTGAGCTGGGGTAGTGGTAGTGGGAATGAGGGGAAGAAAGCATGGGAAATCATTTAGTGAGTAGAAAGGATGAAATTTAGTGAACTGTTTGATGCACCTTGTAGTAAAGAACACAGGGTAAAGACACAGGGTAAAGACAAGGACCGCAATGAGAACTTAAAAAGCATCTGCATGGACAATACTGGCAACAAATGGAAAAACACTGGCAAGAGAAGCGAGTGGGCAGATGAGTTGACTGGAACAAGTACAAAGGCAATGGGAGACCCAGAAGAGGAAGAGACAGAAAATACAGACTTGGGAGTATTCAGCCAACTATATGGAACTGTAAAAAGCATGTACATGGATTATCTCATTTGAGAAGAGACCAGTAAAGAAATCAGAGATCTTTTCTGTTAAAATCCAAATTCTAGGTAGGATATACAGCTTTGCCCTCCCCCTACCGAGAGAATAGAAATAAATGAATAAAAAGAAAGTGTCAAGGCAAAAACAACTGCTGGCTTTTT